TCGCCTTTTATACCCTTCTCGTCGTCTCTAAACTCTCCGTGTGACATTCCTGCTCCACGTGGTGATCACGCTTTATGTACTTTTAGTACTACGTTCATACTTGTTCACGCCACCGTCACACTCGTGATGCCTACGTCATGAATGGCTCGCAGCTGGAAAGACAACCCTTGATCTGGTGAACGAAGATGATGAACTCCTTTATTGACAATGCCACAGACACTCTAAATGTGCATATGGACATTAGTGTAGATGTTGGTAATGGCAATGATTTCCTATCAGAGCTGGCTTGCCGATATCTTAATCGTGGTTGTTCCACCTTGTCCCCCTGGTCGTAACCAGAGACTCGGATGCTTTGTGCAGTGCCTTACTGGGACATTTTCTGGATCTCAAAGCAAAAAGCTTTTGGATAGCAAATGCTTTTTCCCTGTTTAATGCAAACTCAAGCATTAATAACAAATGTTAAACACGCTTAAGTTTGTTAGATTCTTTATTACTTTCTGTGCGTTTTGCAATATAATCGCAAAATTATGCGCCTTTTAGCACGTATTTTAATTGCCTCGCATTCTCACATGAATATAAATAGCTCTTTCCAGTGAGCAATTTTAGAATCACATAAAAATGAAAACGAAGACAGGTTAATGCATGCAGACAAGCAAATAAATTACTTTGTAATGATTCTCATATCGAATTTAACAAACAGCACAACTTTGGGAGGAAAAAGATGAGTGCTGATTATAAGTAGACTGAGACAGTGATATTCAAGCAATGCAATTTGTTCGGCCCTTGCGACCATCTACAGAATTGCAGATCTGCCTAATAGACACGCAGACCACTGTGAACCTAACAAAAGCCATTACTCTTTTAATATCAACCTCCTGAGCTCCATACTATTTTGCCTTGCTACCTACCCTATATGGGTTAATATTCAACACACAAACTATGTTGTTTTGTGAAGTCAACTCTAGAAAGAGTAAGGCTACTTAGGAATAAATCACTTGGCATTGCGTGTTTCAGTGATTAAATAGGTTTTAAGTAAGATCGCTAAGAAAGGCGATTAGCTTACAACATGCAATCATGTGAACCACTGACGTGCTGTAAGCAGTTCAATTAGTGCATCTCTACAAGCTAACACAAGTAAATTAATATTATATGTATTATCTTATACATATTTACATACATTTGTGGTAAACTATTTTCGGTTACTGCGAATCACGAAAGCGATGATAGAGGGCGGTAAGTGTGAATGCCGATCTGAAAGTACATGAGCACGTGCATCACGTGGAACGGATGGAGGTGGTGAGTATAGTATAAAAGGCGACACAACTCAGCCCACAAGTCAGTACCAAGTGGAGCAAGTAGACTGCAAAGAAAATGGGATTCGGGTGTTGGCCGCAATGTGAGAAGCCGTGTGCGTGGTCGGCTGTGCTCGTGCCGCAATGGGAGAAGCCGTGCGCTTGGCCATCTGTGGTGCCGCAATGTGGCAAGTCGTGGGGTTGGCCGTCTGTAGCACCGCAATGTGGCCAATCGTGGGGATGGCTGTCTCTGTGGTAGACGAAAACTAAGACTCTCTTTGTGCTTGCACTGAGTTTGTGAAGAAGTCTCCAAATCTCTTGGATTTGGAGGAGCTAGCCGACGGTGTGCAAGCTCGCCTCTAGTACTTTCCTTCTTCTAACGCGAAATAAATGCTATTAATTCTAATTGTTTTGAGCATTTACTAAATGAGTGTCTAAGCATCGCAGTAGAAATATGAAAGTTGCTAGATGATATTTTGGCAAGTCGCATCTCGTTGCACTTAGGCGATTATTTGCAATATCTCTGGATGACATTCTCTACTGAAACTTAAGTCTGCTGGGGTAATTTCTCAATAATTCCTGCAAGAATATCCAACTTCTCACTTAAAATACTGCAAAATCTTGGCGCCATTCAAGATTAGATGATTCAAATTCTTCCAAATCCGCCGTTGAATCAGGTGATGTCGAAACTGATGGCAAGCCTGTGATTAGGCATATGACTAGTATAATGATGATTATTTGCCTTGCTTTTTACCTCTTCACTCAAAAACACGGAATTTGTATGAATTATTTACTTGCGCAAATGCGAGACAAAATAACGACTGCGAGTGTTATTTACTACCTGAGGCATCTTAGTCAAGTAAAGGTGGGAAAGGGCTAAAAAAATCATTTAGCATATTTGCAGTACAAGTTACAGAAGGCTTAACGTCGGTGAGGGCCAAGAAACATTACCATTAGCTTGTTTTGCTTACAAAATCTTATCGCCAATTCATGCCTCTTACCAAATGAGACCAACTAATCAATCATTCAGTCTGCCTGAGCACAGACTCTAGACACTTTTCTCCGTTGGCTGGGCTTATACAAGTGTATCTAATGGTCCATCTACCAATGCTTGAATGTCCATCAGGAAGCTCGATACTTAGGCTAACCTACAGGAGTACTAACTACTGGTCAATTACAAAGCCATCATCGGCTCAGGTCAGCTGAAAAGCTTGAACCACACCCACGGGACTTAAATGCAATTTCTTAATATCAGGACCTTTAAGGTACAAGAGCAGCGCAGACCACGCATTGAAGGGGCACTAGGATGCAATCTCTAAGCTTCTACTAGTTCCAGTAGTTTAAATTCACATGGACTTCCCTGATTACATAAGAAACTCGGTGACTGCACTCATTATCACATCCACGCGAATGCAAGAAACCATAATTCTTGGCATGGTACTGATCCAGCAGAATAACCAGCACTAGAATATTTGCACTTAGAAATTTTCTTGCCCTACAATATTAAGCAATTTAAAATAATTCGCACTTATTTGCGAAAACAAAAATTAAATTACTATGGCAAATTTACTGTTGGTGGTATTTTTATGTCAACATAGGACTGAAAATTTGTTCAGGTTTGTAGCAGTCTGTAGAACTTGAATTTCCAGTTAGCGCAGATAAGGTAGCTCTGTTTGATTTGACCTTTCGCCTATGCCACTGACTAGCCAATGGGGTGGACAGCACCGGTCTCTGGCTCCTTAACGTTCGTCGCAACATTAGGTGAAGCTGCGCCCACACCTTCGCTAACGATCAAAGCAAAGCATTTCAACAAAGTCATTAAAATTGTTTTTACACAGCCATGAAGCATCGTGGCAAATCTTTAGCCACTGGAAGAGGCTAAAAGTAAAAGTAAAGTTGAAAGGTATAAAGTGGCAGTACGTGTAGACAATTTCGTCACATAAATGATTTTACCGAAAAGCAGTTTTTAGTGCTGGGGAAATTTAACAAGAACTTTCGCTTAACAAATTTTACTCCTTTAATCTAGACTGAGTGATAGACATTGCAAAAAATCCAAACAAAAAAATCAGTGTTAACATCACCTAATCAGCAAAAAATTTCTCTCTTAGCTATATTACGGAAAACTTCATCATCACTTCAT